ACTGCTTTTAAAAGCACTTTCCAGGTATTTCCCCAACATATTCTCGAAAAACAAGCACTTTCACACTTTTCTCGTGCTCGACGTCGCGAGAGCGGAAAAACTTTTAAAGAAAATTAGCGTCAAAGTTGAATAACAAAGCATGAATAGGAAATCTCTGTGTCACTACTTCGGCTAGCCAGGGATGTTGGATGAAGGGATCCAATGGGATGGCAGTTTCGGGGGATGAGTCGCGGCAAGTGGAGTTGCAGTGTCGCCCCAGCGTAAACAAAACTCGTTAAATAAAAGAGCAATTGTACTAACAGCGGCAGCAACAACAACCACAACAAAGAAATGAATGAAAGAAAGAAACTAAAACGGTTAAGCGGAATATGCAAATACTTGAATGACTTTTTAAAGGTGAAATGGTGCTTAAAAAGCCATGAATGCTCCGTTCCTGGTCTAGCCAAAGTTTCCCCTCCCATCGCCGGAAAACTTTGCAGTAGTTTTCCACTCCATTTTTTGAACCTGAACCTACCTGAGCGCTTGTCCGCCTCATTGATGGGCACATTCTCCAGGACAATCGGCTCCGAGCGGCCCTTCTGATTGACGCTATAGACGACCAGGTGCAGGGCCGGATGGGCATCGGGGTAGTAGTCCATGGGCATCAGATCTGTGCGGGGCGAGAGGAAAATTACTTAAGTCCATGATTAACGGCAGGTGATTAGCTGTTTTCAAATCTAAGAGGTGGTCCTGGAACCAAAGATTGCCTAAGAGGACTTTTTTTGGGCAGTGCACTTCATTGCTGTCCTTTCAAAGCATAATAAATTGAAATGCCATGGAAAGGGGTCCAAAAGTATGCAATGACTATTATTCAACAGTTTTACTATTTATATACTTTCTATACATCCTAATAGTCTAGCTAGACGACTAAGTAACTAAGGACTTGACTTAAATCCTACCTAATTAAATTTCTAAATATTATAATGTTAAAACTATTTCCATTTCCTTAATAATGAAAATCATATAATCTTTGCAAATAACTTAGATATTAAGAATCGTTTAAATTAATACCGATTAGATTAAGTTGTCCAAGAAGGATAATAGTACGCTGGTCAAGTTAAATAATTTCGTTTGATACAAAAAAAAAAACAAAATAAATACTTTCTATAATTTCTCTTTAAATTATTTAATCCTCTAGATCGTTGCCCTCATAGAACTAAAGTAGCCAACAGTAAAGATTGCCTAAGAGGACATTTTTTCATGGCTGTCCTTTCAAAGCATAATAAATTGAAATGCCATGGAAAGGTGTCCAAAAGTATGCAATGATATTTTATATATTTTTATATACTTTATCTTTAAATTGTAAACCTCTAGATCGTTGCCCTAAAAGGACTAAAGTAGCCAACAGTAAACTCCCAGGGGGGAACATTTCCCTTTTTGGGGGAACATTTAATATGTTCCAAATATATAGCCCTTCATTTTTAAGTTTCATTTTAGTGCAGGGATGGCCAGGTCATCGTTGATCATTCATTTAAAACTTGTAGTGCTCTGTGCAAACTTCATTAGGCAAACAGGCATTTAATTAGCACGTCGCGGTGCGAAACTTCGGTCGCATAAAATGAAAAGTTCCCGGTTGCAAACTGCGTGTGTTTTTTCCCCTGGCCCTGCTTTTCTGATTTTCTGATTTTTCGATTTTCTGCTTTTCTGTTTTTCCGTTTTTCTGGTTTTTCTTAATGCGCGCATCAAAAGTTTTGTTTGCGCCCTGCGCTCCTTGCACCGATAGCAGCTCATTAAAATGGCAACTAGTGCACAAGGGCGTTCGGCCGGAGGCGGGGGCGTGGCAGGACTAATACGCATACATTGGCAGGCCGCAGGAACAAAAACAGCACCCACAGCCGCCCCCTCCAATCCTCGGAAGAGTCGTTAACACGCCTGTCTAACTAATCGTGACTTTACGCTTCGTTTGACTTTGCAAATATCGCCGAAACCCCTTAACCCCGAGTCATCGATATGGCATGGAATAGCTGGCTGGAGAAGATGCCACTGCAGCACTAAGCGCTGAACTGGCAACTGGGAACTGGGATCAGATCGGGCCATTGCCCGTTGCCAACTTTAATAATCCGAAATGTGGCTCATTAACTCGCCTCATACCCGCAGAATCAAATGTAATATTATAATTTTCGGTTCCCTGTTAACCCCGTGATAAATCTTGCTTTTTCAACAGCTCGATTCGAGTTTCTTCTTCTGCCTCGGGGCAACCAACAGCCCCTCGTTCCCCCGGCAGCATTCTATTTCATCCAATTCCCCACCTCAAAACGCCATTGGCATAAAAGTTTTGCTGACTAGCTAAAATTCATTACAACAAAACAGGCAACAGCATGTGCCAGGAATTGGCGGGGGAGGTGGCGGGAGGTCCTGGCACCCTCAACTAATTAATCTGCGTAGAGCAGCTCGCTGGCTACACGGCGAAAAGCATCTCAGAGATGTGGGATAAGCATGTAAATCATTTTAGGGAATGTTGAAAATACCTAGCATTTTTATGAATGTTTTCGCAGCGAAACTTCAAAACTAGCAAAAATCTATTTCGCCATCAAGAGCAATCCTTCGCTGAAAATATAGTTCCTGAACCACTTTTTAGTATTATATTATTAGTATTATATTCAGTTTGGTTGGGTAACTTTTTAAATATTAATATTAATATTATTACTATTATATTAATATTATTAAAAATAATTGAATTAAACATTCTTTCAGAAATTGTGTCTAAGTTCAGGGTTAACCCCAGAATTTCTTTCACTGCAGCTATTCCTCGCCGAGCCGCAGGATTTCCTCCTCGTCTGGAAGCCATCGCGCAATTTCGCCAGCTCAACTTTTTGCTCAGTTTGTTACTTTGATTTGTTTTTGTTTTAGTGTTTGTTGCTGCTGCTGCGTTTCTGCCCCCAGCTCCCAACTCCCAGCTGCCAGCTCCTTGTTCCCTGCTCCTTGTTGCTGCTGGCCGCATAAAAGCCAAGTCCTTAGTTTGCGGCTTTCGCACAGCAATGTAAATATTGTACGACCAACACCCTGGCCTCGTGATTTCTAAGCCAGCCTCATTTAAATATAATAATACATAAGCACCGTGTAATAAAACATTGCTCTGGGCAGTGAGAATCTGCGGAAATATTGGATTTCCCTGAACCATTGAAGGCCGAGCAATTTAGTGACCGTTTAACGGACTATTTAAACAAGTTCTTTTCGCGGAGACTGTTGCGATTGTTGCGATGTGAGCCGCACATTTGGAAGAATTTCCAGAAAGCAATTGATCTTCCGAATTGTAAGCCTGCCGCTATAAATTCAGGATAAATTCGCATTCAGGAACATCCCTATGCTTGTGTATAAGCCGCCTCGACATGGAATATAAATAATTTTGAACAAGTACAGAGCAACTTCTAAGATACCACAAGTATCTAATAGCCAAATTCAAATCACCCTTTACTCATAGAGTCAAAGGGTATACTCGATGCGTTGGAAAGTAGCAGTATACTATAAAGTATATATGTATGTTCTTGACAGGATCAATAGCCCAGCATAGCAGTACGAACCTTTAACCGCTCTGACCACGCCCACAACGTCCCAAAACTATCACGCCTACACTTTTCAAAAATGTATTAGTTTGTTTTCACTACATTATTGTTTCGGGTAACGGGTATCTTTTAAAATAACCCAGCCTACAGTTGAATATATAATATAAGCTATTTGGATTGATAGCGTACTAAAGGTGATACCCTTCACTACATCCTACTAAGCACCAAATCCTAATAAACATAATGTTTAGGTAAACAGTCTCACCTGACAGATCGATCCGAAAGACGGGCACATCCAAGTAGGTGCTGCTCATGTTGAGCCTGAGCTTCTTGGTCTTGGAGTCGTACGCCTCCAGGAAGAACTGCTGCTGCAGTCCGCCGTCGTATCCTGGCATGCACTCGAGTTCCATGGTGGAGTAGATGATGTTGTCGTAGTTGTCGAAATTAATGGTGCCGCCGCCCGCAAAGCCGTCATGTCCAGCACCAGTGCCCGACCCACCCAGCAAGCTCTGGGTGACTACTCCGTTGCTGAAACTATACTCCATGCGTGAGTAGTCGAAATGAGGAAGCTGCCATTCAGCGGCGGCGGAGTCGGCGGTTTGGGTGGCCTGGGTGGTTTTCTCCCTAATGTGAGGTCCTTCTGTTGTCCTTTGCAGCGGGGCGGCGGCTGTGGTGTCGGATGTGGAGAGAGCCACACTGGCCACAAAGTCATCATCGCTAACATTGTACATATCATCGACCTCGCCGCCGTCGTCATCGCCGGCCTCCTCCTCCTCGACGTTGTCTTCCAGCGACTCCAGATCCAACTGCTCCTCCAGGGACAGCATGTGCACATGTTTCGGCTGCCCGTCCACCTCCTCCGCAGTTTCGTACTCCTCCAGATCGCCCGGGCCGTCGGCCAAGTAATCGCCGTCGGTGGCCAGCTGGGCCACATCTTCATCCAGCTCTGCGACGTCATCGTGGGCCCCTCCATCCTCGTCCTCGTCCTCGTCCTCCTCCTCGTCATTAGTCTCCGCTTCAGCATCCATCTCTGCTCCATCATCGTCATCATCGTCGTCGTCCTCGCTGTCGTTGTCGTTGTCATTGTCAGTGGAGTCCTGCTTGGAGGACGACGCCTTGTCCTTGACTGCCGCTGCAACTGCACCTTGTGCCGATGTCGCTACTGTTTCCTTGACATTGTTGGCGCTAATTGCTGCCACCGGCTGGTTGCTTATTTGCGGAGCATTGGGCGGCAGCAACTGTTGCTGCTGCTGCTGTTTGTCTAGGCTGCTCAGGGACTTGCGGGAGCGCTTATTGTTGCTGCCACTGGCAGCAGCCGCAGCAGTCGCAGCAGCCGCAGCAACATCCTGCTCGATTTCCACCTCCGCCGCGGCAGTGGCTGCCAAAGATGCGGCCGAGGAGGAGGCTGGCGAAGATAATGATGTCGATGTGGACGCCGCCGCCACGGTTGCCAAGATGTCATTTGCTGCCAGGCGCTTCCTCCGCCCCAAACTCAAACTGGAACTCAAACTCGAAGTCGAAGCTGCATAATGATGGATTATATTGCTGTTGTGCTCGTTTGCTGCTCCCTTCAGTTGCTGTTGCTTTGGCTTTTCCCTTTGCTGCTGTTTGTGCATGTTTTTCTGTCGCTTATTAAAATACTTTGCTGGCTGTTTGCCATTGTTGCTCTGGCTGCTGCTGCTGCTGCTGCTGCTGCCTAGATGCGACGTTGATAAATTTGATGCTGCCTGCTTCCGCTGGCTGCTGGTTATTGATGTTGCTGCATGCAGCTGATGCTGCTGCTGCTGCTGCTGCTGCTGCTGCGGAACTCGGCTGGCACGCCGCATTCGCTGCTGGGACGACTTGGCCGGCGATCCATCAGCTTTGCTATCGCCACCGGACTTGGTGGCAGTGGACTGGCGCTGCTGCTGCTGCTGCTGCGATTGCTGCTTCCTCTGGCGCTGCCGCTCGATGGCCGCCAGTGTCTGCGACGGTGTGAATGATGTGCGCTTCTTGAGGCGCAGTAGTTGCTGCGGAGTGAGCTGCTTGTTAGGGGCGCTGGACCTGCCCCTCATATTTTTATTGGCCACATTGTGCCGGGCAGTGGCATTGCTGCTGCCACTGCTGTTATGGCGCTCACGTACGTACTCCATGTGCGGGTAATTCGACTCGTGTCTGCCGTATTGTGTGGGCAGCTGATTGGCGTGCATTGTCGTCTGATTCGATGAGTTCAGCGAGGCGGAGGTCACCACATACGGCCGGAGTGTACAGTTTCGCAGTGCCCCCGGCTTGGCTGCAAAGATCGAGTAAGCGAAACCAATCAATGCCAAACAACATGCGTGCGTATTATGTTGCAGAGGATAAATGCGATTAAAAAAGCAGCTTAAAGCTCTGACAAGGATATTGATGGGATATATGTCTTTATTTCTCTTTAGTAGGTATTTATTTCATACTTTGTAGCAGCATCTCAACCCAAATGATTGCAGAAATGCCAATAATATTGCTTCAAAGTGGGCGCCGCATCATTTGAATTGGTTTTCAAATTATTTAATAGTTGAAAGGCAGCTTAGCTCACCTGCTGGCACCACCTGGAACACACATGGATCCGACTGCTTTCCGATGGCATTCCGGCCGTAACAGGCCAGGGTTCCGTAGTCCCTCTCGCCCTTGGGCGTGTAGATCAGCTCGCTGACGGTCTCCACTGTAAGAAAATAGGCAGCGGATTACAGGTGTGAATTGCACTTCGGCTTGGTTTTGGGCGCTTATTAAATTGGCCTTTTCGGCAAAGTTAAATGCAATAAGTTCTGCTTGCCCGAGCAGCTCAGTCAAGCCAACTGGGCCGGCAGAAGATAATCCAATTTGCGACCATGCGGTGCGAGTATGTGCATGAAATTGATAAAAGTATCTGCAGCCCACAGCCGCAGCACAGCTCCTATTGTTCGGATACACAGGTCTCTGCCACCTCTGGCCGCACTTAGGCCTCTGCGAAATGCTAATTTCTAAAGCCCGCTCAAGCGCAAGCACATGCAAATGCACTTTCACCCGAGGCTGCTCTAAACTAGTATGTAATGGCAGAAACTAGAATTGGGTGCTGATAAAAAATGGGTTTCCTCAAAATGAATCTTTATTTTATTAGGAAACAATGTGCACGTTGCCCTCCTCCTAATTTATGTCATTTCAGAACTTCAAGTGTTAATTTATAGCTTCTATTTTACCATTTCCATTATACAGCTAATATTCCTAAGGTATAACCTTTGGTACGCACAAAGTTACACCTTGAGAATATAAGCTGTACCTTCTATCAGGCACCTAAGTTATACCTTGAGAATATAGGCTGTACGTTTAACCACGTACCTCAGTTATACATTGAGAATATAAGCTGTGCCTTTAACCAGGTACCTACGTTACACCTTGAGAATATAAGCTGTACCTTTAACAGTGTACCTAAGTTACACCTTGAGGAATATAAGCTGTACCTTTAATCAGGTACCTAAGTTAGACCTTGAGAATATAAGCTGTACGTTTAATCAGGTACCTAAGTCATACCCTGAAAATGTAAGCTGTACCTTTAATAATGTACCTAAGTTATACCTTTAGAATATAAGCTGTACCTATCAGGTACCTAATAACTCCCTGAACTAGAACCTTGTTTAAACCTTTTTGAAAGCTGTACAAAGTCATTGTTTATGGACTCACCGTAGCTCTCGAAGTGCGTCTCGTTGGACTCGACGACGGTGCGCCGCACATCGCTGGTGGTGGTCATGGTGGGGTCTTGGATGGTGGCGTAGTGCCCCGAGGGCACCTCGAAGTGCTCGCCGCTGGTGGAGAATGTCCACTCGAAGTCGATTTCGGGCGGGTCCGAGTTGACGCGACACGGGATGGGCACGGCCTCCTCCAAGGAGGCTCCAATCACGGTGATGGAGCTGCTGCTGCAGACGGGCGCATCTGTTGGCGACACGATTGGCAGATCGAATTTAGAATGGAACTGACTCGAGCGGATTGGGGGAAAATGCAAAATAATGAGCAGCTGCAATTGTCCAATGGTGCTCTGTCTACATCAAGTATTTATATTGCAAACATTTTGTTGACAGCCGGAGGAATGCGCAAGTGCTCTGCGAATTGACAGCTCAGATTTTCAATTTAAGCAAAGCAGCTGGCGATGGCTTTTTCCTCAGGTACGGGTGCTAAATTAAAGCCCCTATCTTGGACAGGGGTATTATGTTACTGCACTGCTCCTAATAATGAATAAATGAATATGCTTAATAGAAATACTACGCAGTGGCAGGCCATCAGTTTCATGAATGCTTAAATTTAACAATGACTAGTTCCCTTGCCCATAATTCCGTGCATATACATCAAATATTTAGCTTGGCAGATTCTTTCTGAGAATTTAAGTAAAAAATTTAGAACGCGTAAGTTTTGCCACAGCTTAAACTCATCCCTGCCTTACTCATGATTTATTCAAAATAAACTCATTTTGCGTTTTGGCTAGAAACGATTGAACTTGAAATTTTATGTCGTACACAAGGCAAGCCAAAAATGCGCCCCACCCCCAAAATTCCCACGCAGGGAAAAACTTTTGGTATCAACTTTTGAAAACTGCGCCAAGTGTGCGATGTGGGTGGCACCCGGCTCCTTGTTTGCCCGTGGCAACGGAATCCTGTCATAAACAACATGGCAACGCAGAGCAACAACCAACTGACAACAACCAAAACAACGCGGCAGACAACACACGCAGCACTCTAAGCACCTGGAGGCATTTATTACCCGGGCCGCAACACTTTTTGCCCTTTTTTTATTGAAAATTATTTGAAAAGTTGAGGTGTGTCCCGCTGTAGCAGAAATTGTGTAATGAGTTTGTATACAAATATTTGTACACGTTGCATAAACAATGTCTAATCTGGAATCGGTGGATTGGGATTTCGTTTCACAACCTGGAGATCTTAAAACAAACTGCAAACTGCTGTTGAGTAAGAAATTTAGCCAAAAAATGAGCTTCTGAATAGCGAAAGTTCTGCATGATATACGATTTGTGGGTTTCACGCTTTCAAACCAACTCCCAAATCAAATGGTTCGCATTTAAACTCTTTAAAGCCCCTTCCACAATGCATCCTGAATGTCGCCTGCTCCAGAATGGCGCGATTCCCCGGAGCACAAGCTGCACTTCAGTGGGAAAACTGCGGCCAAGAACTGCGCACGGTCACAAACCAATTAGATGGCCAAGAGGAGCAAAACCCACAGCATTGTTTGCAGAGCAGAAGATGATGAACTCAAGCGCATGCTACCTTTTTCGCTATGCAAATTTGCGAGGAAGTGCCACGGATCTGGGGCACAAGTACGCAATTCGGATTATTATAAACACCTAGGGGGATAAGGCTGCAGCTGATTGCTCGGTTTTATTATCACATGGAGCAGTTTGCCGCATCCATAATATTTTTACGACAGCTTCAATCTCGAAATCGTATAACTACAAATGTAACCTCTGCTGATTAATTTCTGGAAAGATATGCGCGAGCTGCTGGCAGCCGTAAATCAATTAATCTCAATCGCGGTCCCACAACAAAGAAGCCCCACCCCAGGCACCCCAGGGAGCTTCCCCCAGCCAGCCCATGCCAGCCCATGCTGTTCCAGGCTATCTCATCCATATCCAATCAACCATCAATCCGCCACCCAGCGGTATGCAAATGTTTACGTGGCGTATGCGCGATGCCCGTGTAAATAGCCCACGTAGTATTTGCACAGCAGTCGGTGGCGGTGTATCCTTATGCATTGTACTCGTATTTACTTTCAATTATCGTAATTATCAAAAAGGGTAACGGGTAACGGGTATTGGGTATTCGGTATACAGTACAGTACCCAGTTTTCGATAATGGCAAGGCAGAGCAAACGTTTGCTGATGTCTTCGTTTTCGATTTCCATTTTTCAGCCCGTTGTTTCTGATTCTGATTTCCACATCCCCTTGCTGATGCTGCGAAAATGTTGTTTTCCACGAACTCAAACAGTTGCAGCTACTTATTTGAGTTTGGAGGTCGGCATCCCGGCCAATTCCATTTGGCAGCCGCGCAGCGAGGCGCTCAAATCGGGGATAATTACGAGTTTTTCCGGCATTCTAATTCACTGTGAAAACTCACTTTCCAGGGAGCAAAATAATATTTTATAGTTTATAAATCCTTTCTTATTGTTGAAGCTTAAGTCCCACACAATTAATTTTAGAATCTGTGCAGCGGAGCGAGCAAATCGCAGAAAATGACATTTTTTAGTTTCATTAACTAACCGTGCAAGTTCGGGCTTAAATGGCATCAAAATATTCATTTAGCCGGCCAATTAATTAAATAATATTCGTTAACCTGCCCTCTGTGCGCATCGCATCGCACTGCTCTGGTTTTCAGTTGCATTAAATATGCAAAATACAAATTGAATTCCATATCCCCGCCGCACCTGCTCAACGTGTGTGCACCCACCTGTCCACCTGTCCGCCTGTCCGCCTGACCTTTCCCATAATTATAAATGGTTTAATAATGACTATGGGCTTCGATAATAAAAGCAGATCATTCATTTTTATTACCCCCATGGTGAACCGCCCGCCCCCCAACTGACACGTTAAGTTCCAGTTCGGGGGCAAAAACTTTTGGCCCCGGTGGAAATGAAGAGCGGAGGGATACTTTATGGGCGCATATGCATATTTATGCACACATACCCTTGAACGGCTGGGTATTTAAGCATCATTAATTATTTAGAAACACAGACGGAAGTAAACGCTCTATAACGGTAATTGAGACATTTTCAATATGTGCACACAAAGGTTCCGAGCGGCCATTTATTTTTGTGTTTTGTGGCGCTGTGATTGTTGTCCACAAATAATAATTACAAACACTTTCGGGCCCGAAGTGTGAAAGTGGCCTGCCTGCCAACGGGCCCATGCAAATCGGAGCTGTGACAATTAGAAATCAATTGAGTTATCAATTGATTGGTTTCAATTTACACTTGCGGCCCGCTTCTGTTGTTATCAACACAAGAAGCAGCCGCTTGCCTCCGACTGACTGGCTGTAATTGGCGTCCATTAAAAGGGCTGGTGATTCCACAAAAGTGTCAATTAAGTGGGATGGAGCCCTGGGAACTATGCCAGGTGTGGAGCATTCTACTCCGGGCTCTTGATGTGAAATGACACTCGATTGGTTTTTATTGGAGCAAGAGCTTCAGCCTTCGCCAGCCATTGTTTACTAAAATTTATTACATGTGCAATAGTGCAAATTATTAGCACTTAAAAAGAAGTGAATCGAAGCCACTGCAGTCGAGTGTAGCGACTATTAGATACCCGTTACCAGTCTGAGCAAAGTTCAGAGCAACAGAGCAACTTGCTTAAAAAGGTTAAGTTCCAATGGCTTGTATAATGCACTTGAATAAATAGGGGAAGCCTATTTGAGGCGAATAAAATACATGACCGCATACATATACAGTTTCGATTTAATTTTGTGAATTTGCATTGAAATGGGAATATTTGCCGACGAAAAAACTGCAACCTTGTGTCGTTTGTTTGATGAAACACACACTCGAAGTGCAGCCCACATATTTACTGCACTCGTATATAAAATACATTATCTATATAGTGTGTGCGATGTAAACGGATGACAGCGGAGCAGCTCGTACATACTCGTATATCCATTGCATAGTGCACATTACGGCTTTTTGCACAAAATATTTTCTGTCATTTTAGCATACTTTAGTTTTGGACATTGTTGTCATCCTGTGTTTTCGGTGGGCGGATGGGCGGCTTGGGGCTTTCCAGCAAGGACATTGTGCGATTTTGTCAAGTGCACAGCCGCTGTTGTTGTCGATTTTCGATGTGGGCGTGGCCCCGCCCACTTATCGGGGGGAGCGGAACGAAATAGATTTGGGAATGCGACAACATCTTGCCCATTTTCTCTCGGTGTGTGTCAATTTGCGCATAAATTTATGCATATGTATTTTTAATGCTCCGCTCCACTGACATCAACTGTCAGCATAATTTTTGTGCAAATTGTTGGTTTCCTTTGTTTTTGCTTAATAATACAAAATGGGATTTTTATAAAGTTTTTAGAGCTCCACTGATCTCGGTTTTAAATGGGAAAATTATGTATATTTTTATGCTGCTCCGCGTGCCTTACAGTTTGAGTTGATTCTCCACTCCCCCGGAACATTGAGTTGCAAATTTAGCAAAATTAAGTTGGCTACTATGTTTTGCCACAAGATATTATATCAGTAATTTGAAAATGGCGGCAACTCTTGAGCTACCGCCGCATATGGCAAATGCCTTAAGGTCCAAGTTACTTACATCGAATCCTCAAGTTGACCGGAGCCGACTGGGTTTCCCCGCGGTCATTGGCCGCCGAGCAGGCGTAAAACCCGGAGTGGATGCGCCCCACTCGCTGGAGGACCAGGGAGCGGGTGGATATGATGATGCCCCAGGACACATTCTGGGTGACCGGTTGACCCTAGTGCAGAATGGTAAATCAAGCAGTTAATTTATGCAAGCTAAACATTTTCAGTTGGCCAAGACTCACGTCGTGCGACCACATGATGCGATGCTCCTTGGGATTGGACTTGATGTGGCACTCGAAGTAGACGTCGTCGCCCTCCTTGATGTCGTCCGGACGCAGTGTGGAGCCCAGCGACAAGGTGACCTGGGGCGGATCTGGAAGGGCGTTAAAAAACCCACATGTAGTAGTTGGGCTGCCATTTTAATTGCCTGCGCTAATGTGCAAATTTCACTGCTCCGCGCGCTTTTTATATATTCAAATTACCCTGCCGCTGGCGGGCTCATATAAAACATAAATCGAAAAATATTATTGCATAATAAAACGCGGCCTTGTTGTCATCAATCTACAACGCCGCAGCGCAGCCCATAAATGTTAACAACGCAGCGACGCAATTGGGGCTTTAAGCCGCCGAACCGTATCCAAACTGGCTAGCCAATGGGTATGACGGGAATTTTTAAATTAAAATTGTTCCGCCGCCGCGAGCAACGCCCCAATATCAATGATGGATCATATAAAATATTTAGTGTTTTCCCACCGCCCCACCGATTTTACAACATCATGATTGCGCGCCAAGGAAAGTGGAGCCCTCCTGAAGGAAAGCAACAAATTGTTACTGTTATGGCCGAGAATGGCTGCGAAGGGGTTAACCAGACTGGAAACTGTAAAGGTAGCTACCTCGCATTTTCTTTGGGGGCAGCATGAATCACGGTCCCCCATTTTCCCTACTCCATTTTCCGATCGCAAGCGCGGGTCCATTAAAGGCTTAAGCCATCTGCGCTAATCCTTTAAGGCAGCTTTTCCCTCTGTATTTGTGCGCTTTTTAATTTCATATTTGCACGCCTGGCCGGGTCAAAGGGCAGAGAAAGTTTCTGCAACTTTCAGCTGGCAGCTTACGCGAAGGTCATTCAGTATTTATGGGCGAATTTTGCGGGAATCTATGCGTGGCTTTAAATCCAATAAATGTATGATTATCCGAGGGAAAACCGCTGGCAAAACAAAGTGACAACACAAAATAACTGGCCCAAGGAAAACCCTAGAAAACCTTAAGAAGTAGGCGGTCGCGATTGATGCTCATTCTAAATTGATAATCATATAAAGTACAATTTATGGCATTTGCAAATATGCGCAGCGAAGCAAAACAGGCAACAAACTCGGCTCCAGCTTTTTATGGCCACGCTAAAAGTCAGCCGAATAAATATTGACATGCAGGCGAACTGCTTCATTCTGGGCCAATGCCAATGAATTGGCAGTGGGCTGCGTAAATAATGTCACATAATTTGGGCTTATTTGCACAGGCGACTTTGATTTGTGTCCTGGCGGAATTTATGAAAACTCAAATCGCTTTTTAAAAATGTACGCGAGCTGGAAAGTATCTACGTTGTTTTCTGTGGTAATTTAGAGAAAACTTAAATTACAAACAGGTTTTTAGCTCCAGCTGAAAAAAAAACTTCGCGTATCGTGTTTCTAAATATGAAACCAATTAAAGTTATGCTGCTTTCGTATTTTCCCGTAATTTCCATGATAGTTAGACTATAGCAACTACGATGGTTTCTCGCCAAACATTTGAGGTGTTTGAGTCGGCAATCTAAATGAAAAATGAATCACCCATCATAGTTTCAATAAAGGAAATGTATTTCCGAACCTTTGTTTCTATCAATTGCAGTTTTTTGCACTTAAGTTCAACTTGACCCGCCAAAATGAGTTTTTCCCCTATAATCTCTCTAAGCTGAGTGTGCATTCATAAAGCGTTCCACTTACAGATGACATTCATCAGGAGCGAGTCCTCTATGGCCGAGTTCTGGAGCCGTGGGTTGGAGCCCTCGCACTTGAGCATGGTACCGTCGTCCTCGGGCTGTGGATAGAACGTCAGTGTGGACACGACTCTGCCGTTGCCCTGGCTGGTGGACAACTAGATGGGCGGGGAGAGAGATGGGGTGGAATCGATTAGAGAGGTGCCCGCTGGCCACCGGGCAAGGAACTCATAAGTGGGCCCTTCGCCTGGGAAAGAGAGAGGGGGAGCTTACCAGGCCACGTTTGAAGGGGCGATTATTCTGCGTCCATTTGATTTCCGTGTCCGGAACAGAGCCGGCCACAATACAGGTGAGATTGTACTGCGTGTTCGAGGCGAAGACCTTCAACTTATTGGTTAAATTGACTGACGTGGGTTTGACTGCGGGAGTTTAAGGTTTAGGGATTAGGCGTGACTGGCCATATTGACTGCTCGCTCGTTCACTCACGTAACATCTCGATGCGGATGCTGCGCTCCACGGGCGCCACCAGCTTCGTGTTGGACGCCTGGCAGCGGTACGTGTTGTTCAGGGCGGAGCGCGAGATTTGGGGCACCTCCAGCCGGTTCACGGTCACATGGCGGCCCATCGGGACTCCGCTGCCCGCCTCCAGGGTCCGTGTTCCGTTCAGCCAGATCACCGTCGGCTCGGGTCGACCTGTTGATAGAGCGGTATTACCTTAACTTCATTGGTTCATGTTTGTGGTGTGTGTAAGGCTATCCATCTTCTTTTCTTCAAATTCAACACACTTCACCAGTAGTGTTTGTATTTATTTTTAAATACTGCTCCTTTGTATCATGTGACATTTTAAGCACAATCATGCTTTTATTCAGTCAAAGTCAGTCAACGGGCATTTGTTAACTTTATGAAAACTTGACTAGTTATATTTTGCAGCACTTTGGCAGAGCATGGAAACAAAAGCGAATGTTTTGAATGTTTGATTTTAAGAAAAATGTAAATTGAATACACAACATGATTCGTTTCCCACTTATTCTGTGATGAAGCTTTTGATTGAACGAAACTATGAACATCCAAATTGTTAGTGAGCAATAGGCAGTAAATAAGCAACAGTAAGGGTATGCTGCAGTCATACCCTGGCAGTTCAAATTTAAATTAATGTTTAATGCATAAATTAATTTTAAATTTCGTGCCAACTGTTTTTCGCTGGCAGCAAACTTTTCCACTCATGCATTATTAACCCGCCCGTCTAGAGAGAGTTTTCCCGAGGTGGTTTTCTAACGGAAGCGGCGTGACCACAGAGCCGCGTTCGAAATTTATGACCGAAAAAAAGCAAACTTTCAACATTTTAATGATAATGCGCATTTAGCAGTGTGTACCCAAGGCTTTTAAAAAAGGCTTAGCCAGCTTAACTAGCAAAGTTCGGCCACTGGATGCCCGGGATGGATGGCCAAATGGGTAAATGGATGGATGGATGGATGGACAGAAAAAGGACAGGAGGCGGTCATGGGAACCCAGGAAACGCATAAGCGTGAATATTGAATTAGTGGGTTTGTGGCACAAACGGGGAGACTCGAAAGTTTTGGGGACATGCGGAGGACCCCAAACGAAAACAATAATCGCGAGGGAAGATCGCATAAGGGGCACATTTTAATACATATATACCGGCATATATTGTATCACAAAGTTAGAGGGCTGATCCAAATAATAGATAATAAGCAAAAGTGAATTTCCGAATCTGTTATTTTAATTCTGGCGATTTTATGGGCCAATTGAGTTGTGTTTCTCACATGGGAAATGCAAAAATACTTCAAAAAAGGAGATTGAGATTGATTGAGAACAACTGCTCATTCCCTTGGTCAATTTTTCTAAACTTAGTCATGTAAAGTAAGCCACATTTAAGCCAATCCGCTTTGGAAAGACCTTAGTTACTAAGTTACTTCCTTTTGGGCTCTAGGATACATTAAAAAAGAAAGCCCTGCTGAGTTAGTCCAACTAAAGCTGTTAATTCGAGCAGATCAACCACAAGAAGGATGCTCCAACGAAAACGGAGCATCTCTTATCCAGCATCCATGCGAAAGCCAATCCCTACCTGCCTCAATTTGCCAATGAGTTCGAATATTAAATTAATAAAATATGACTCGGCCATATGTGGGATTGACTATCGATTTACTCTTCAGAGAGTCGGGAGGGAGTTCTCGATGCAGTTCTGTGATTCTGCAGCCCGGCATTTCAATTGAAATTCTGCAATCACTTTTTCGCTCTGCTGCCATCGCTCAATGTAGGAATCGCTCGGAGAAAGTGGTAGGGAAAGGCATGCCCACGCTCACATATCAAATGTACGAAAATATTTTTAATCCGTTTAAGTGCCCAAAGCCGAAGCTTCGGGCCCAAAGCCCTTCCTCCGGCATAGCCATTGGGTTTGGTTTGGGCCATTAAGAGAGCCAAGTGAATGCGGCGGAAATGAGCAACAATAGCAACAAGCAGCGGGGATTGGCATTGGCCGACGACTTGGGCACGGGGTGGAGGACTCCGAATTGGATTCGGGGTTGGAGATTGAAGGGCGAAAGTAGCTGATAGCTGGAGTGTGGACTTGGGAATTTACTGCCAGAGTGCTGGCTGATTGCAAAGGATACTCGGCGACAATAAGCCAGCGAGGACAAACGCACACACGCCAAATTGCTTGGCGGGATGGGATGGGATGGGATGGGATGGGATGGCATGGATTGGGATGGGCTGGGAATGCAGGGATAATAGACAAATAACAGTTTCCCTGCGGCATTTAGCTGGCTCCCACCTCCCCCATCCGCACTCCGGCCACTTTCTTTCCTTGCCACCCAACTCAGCCATTGACCCACTTCCTTTGTGTAATGAAGACAGCGCGCTTGCCATTTGCTAAGCCATACTTACGCTTGTTGACAATTGCTCCGCCGGACAATGCTGCTGCAGAGTGGGGGCCAAATATGCAAAGGACTGCGGAACTGGAGCCGGACACAGGGTGTAACCCGGGCCCTTTTATGGGGCAGCCGCCTAGATTAGCTTTTTATTGCCGGTATTAATTGCTATTAGTCGAAGTTAATAAACTTGATAAAGCAATTTGGCATTTGGCGTTTATCGCTTATCGTGCCCGGGGCTATGATTAGTGGCCGGCCATAAAAATAGCGCCAGCATTTGCATTAGCCCTAATCAGGCTGCCAGCACCCACCGTCCGCAATCGCAATCCCTCAACTTCGCTCTGTCGACGCCATGTGGCGCTGAAGTTGCGATATTAGTTAATTTGGCTTTGAGCCCTTGCCAGGAGCCCAATGAAATACGAGCTTGCATTGCGGTCCTTCGAGCAGCCAGCCCGTACACTGAGATAATGGGTGGTGTGCCCACTGTATCAAAGGACAATAAAATGGTGCAAAGGAGAACCATCAATCTGTCTGTCTATAGACAGAATAGGCCAAATTAATAGTATTTTAAATTACCGTTCGGAATTAAGTTGTATCTCAGCATGGGATAAGCAATTTGGCTAAGTGCAGGCTGGCGGTTTGGGGTTGTGCGGGAAATGTTGCATACAAATCAGAGGCAATGCCACCTGCCAAGAAGCGTGTCGCTCAGCAGGTGTCAAAAGGGAATGTTGGCGACGTCGACGCAGTTCCACTTGGACCCCCTCCCTGGCAACTTGCTGCTCAGCTCATTCACATGCGGTTAGTCAAAGCGGCGACGTGAGGCACTGCTGGCAAGCAAACCAAGAGGCGGAATGCCAAGGCGTAAGCTGAATCCTGGGCAGAGCACGGAGTCACCCGGAGCCACCCTGAGCCTCCCGGAGGCACCTGCCTTTCGAGAGGTGAGGCGAATAATGAGCTAGCATTTGCCAAGAGGCTGCTGCACAAAGGACGAGGTCCTTCAGCCGAAATTGGGACACTACCGCGGGCCTTTGAGCCCGATGGAGTTCAAGAACGGCCTCAAAGAAGCTTATTCGCGATTTCTCTTTGGCATTCGTGAAAAGGAAAGTTGGCTCAAGCAGTCCCTGCCAATTGCTTTAACCAGTATGGAGAGCTAAAGTGAAAGCACTATAATATATATGCAATTTATTTAAGGCTTGGTACCTTTGGTGCTATTACTGTTACCAACTTGGCAAGCCCATTCTGCCAGTTCAATGAACTGTAGCCACTGGTTGTCTGTAATAATCAACTAATTCCGCTATCTAGCAGACTTAAAAACTTTTACGAGCATCAGTAACAAGTTCCACGCCATCAGCTGCATTTCAGACTTTAAGCTCTGGGAAAAGCCACACTAAATGGCCGGAGGAAAATGAAGCCCGCAAATCGCGCTGCCAGTTGACATGGAAAACGTCTGGGTTGTGCGCCGAAAATATTGTTGTCAGAAAAGTTAATGATTTATAATGCTGATGTCGGACATTCGTCGCCATCGCCGGCACCGCCGGCTTGGGTTCGGTGCGGTTCGTATCCATGGAGCTCAGTGATGCAAGGAGGAGCCCTCAAGCCAGACCAGTGAAGCGAGCGACTTGTGCAAAAATTTTTCACACTTGCCAGCTGAAAAAGGACGAGCAGAAAGTTTCGAGCTGCAGAGGGATGTGCCTCCCCTCACCTTGGGGACCTCTTTAAAGATTTACGATGCCGCATATGCCTACAGGTCATAGCTTGGCCAATGGATGTGGATGAGGATGTGGATGAGGATGTGGCTGAGGATGTGGCTGAGGATGTGGTGTGTGCGCAACAAAAGCACGGCAGACGCTTCAAATTGTTGCATTTTGCCCTGCGAGCTGGCAAACTGGCACTGACAGGGCCGCAGACGCTGGAGGATCCTCCGCAGACGATGTCCTGGCGGCTGTCCTGGCGCAGCGGCGCTGTCACCGCAGACTTTGACATACATTTATTTTTATTATTTACGATGACTTAGTCCTGCCCCCACTCGCACTCGAACCGGCAGAACTGGTTCTCGGTCACGGCTGGGCCTATCTGGGCTCCTCATCTTTAATTCCTTAAATAGACCGGCAGGGTCGAGTGGGCATGGCTGCGAAGGATGCTGGGATTGCACGGAAAATAAAGTAGTTCGTGATTTGTTGCACTATTAACTAGTATTTTTCATAAAGAATTTGCTTAAATAATAATGGTTCGTCTTTCTAAAAAGATATTCCCCCTTATGGCATTCAGTGCATGAAAGGTATAGGCCAGAGATTATTTAAAAAGTGTCTCAGTATGGACAGGAATTTCAGTTCAGTTTGATTCTTATTTATCACAGTGCACGAGTGGAATCAGCTGCGTTTTTGTGCCGCCCCAGCCTGATAACCTTTTGTCTGTGTGCCACATTTATGTGGCAGAGGGTACGTGTATGCATTGGTGTCGTTTATCATGATTTACTTACCGCCACGCACTTCACATGTCAACACAATATTATCGCCCTCGAGCAATGGACCCACAGCTCCGGCAACATCGCGTCCGGAGGCATCGTACACGAGTATTTGATGGGGAGGAACTGTCGGAAGAGATGAGAGGGCGAGAAGGCGGAGAAAGCGGGTCAGTCGTCGCTAAAAGGATGCACTAGCAAAAGTTGGATTCAAGGGCTTCGACTAAAAGGACCTTAAGCGGTCCTTTCACCAGCTGCTAGTAGCTAATCCGGCTAAATTACTCGCTTTTCTGGTCGACTACAGTAACTTTAAATTAATGGGTTCAAATCAAAAGCCATATGCATATGAAAATTACATTGATTGGGTGTGTTTTTAGAGTGTATTTGAGGGCTGCCTTTAATGGCGCTGGGCTGCGGGTACTCACCAATAACCGTTAAGTTAATTCTATGATTACGCGTGGGCGAGTTCTGAAAGTCGACGCGGCAGCGATAAACCTGTTGAGGAGTCCAAAGGAAAACAAACAATAAGAAGGCGTCGTTTTCGGGCAAGGGAGCCACTTACGCCCTCGTCGTCCAGTTGGATGTTGTCCACCGATAACTTGGCCGGCTGCTGTCCAGTGACGAAGTACGCACGTGGCCCAAATGAGTTGGTGTCCGACCAGTAGAGGGCCTTCTCGAAGGGTCGTCCCCGGACGTCGAAGCTGGAAAAGCGGAAAAGCGAAAAAGCGGAGGGGAAATGTTAAAAGTTGCCTAAGTAGTTGCTCCTTCGTTATCTGCAGCTAACGGCCGCAGGGGAACGCAAAAAACGCGTGAATAATGTGAATAAATGTGAATAAATGCGAACAAGGGAAATAAGCCCAAAATATTGACGATAAGTTGTGTCAGCCAAAGGTCGTAAATTTTAATGCTATGTGAAAGTTTCCACGGCGTGCGACCTCGAAGGATGTCCTTATGTTTTAAGCACATCAAATGGATCGTCCTTGTGGGCAAAAAGACTTAATTCGATGCTGTCATGAGCTCGCCTGCTTTCGCCACTTTTTGTGTTCACTTGTATACAAAATATAGCCAAGTACTCTGTTTTCTTTGCAATTGTAGTTGCGCCTAACGTTTGACTTAGTAGCTTAGCACAAACTAAGTCGAATAAAAATCAGAATAATGCCATAAACTCGAATACACTCACATGAGCTCACCTATGGCGCTCCATGCAAATGCTAAGTAGCCATAAAATGAAAGTGGAATGGGAGCAGAGCTAGACTTGCCACTTAACACTTAAGCTGAGCTAAACTCTGGAAAACTGAAAACTTAGTAGGACACAGGGTGGGGGAAGGCTCTTTATAAAGTCTGCTTTAAGGCCTCCAGAGAGGCCACTAAACAAGGCCAGCTTGGGCCGTTTTTCCCTGCAAACCATAAATATTGAATGGAAAATTGCAGAACCAACACGCTCGAATGCGGCCTGCGCCTGGGTTTTCACGCGTCTACAAAATGACCCTTTTCCTGTCTCCTTTGACCCGCGGAGCCAGGGGTCGACAAAACGACCCGAGCATAAATTTGCACGCAACTAATTTCTTCCGTTTAGCATTATTTTCTTATTTTCGCAGCCCGGCGAAGCAACCAGCAACGTTTGCAATTTCGCGCATTAAAAAGCCTGACGTGCTATCTTTGGCGCTTTTATTGTATTTGTTAATGTCCGTCGAAGGACTTCGGATGCCACGCCCCCTACCACCGCCTGCCCTTCCTGCCGCCCCAGCGACACCCCATAAATGACTTGACGTTGGCCAAGCTCTGCCACAATTCTCCTTATGGCACTCAAAGAAATATATACGTTTAAATATGTCCGGGAAAGCGTGTTTGTTCAGTAAGTCGAGTCCATACTGTCTCTCCATTACATGGCTTATAATCGGTAATAATATAGAGGCAATATTGAAAGTATATTAATAAGTAATTTTTGTCTGCAATTAAACATAATTTATTTCTGATTACTGCAGTAAGAAGAAAATGCAAATTTTGCGTACTGGTAAATCAGTTCTGTGGGAAATCATGTTTGGCAAACATATTGCTCTGAAATGGCAATACATTTGCATTTGGACTGACCTCAAATCGACTAGTTAAACAGTTAGAAGTGCGTCTGCTTGGGATTTCAATTTGTTGACTAATCAGCAATCGTTTAACAAAATGCGAGTTTGGTCATTAATTAAAACCGACGCCAGTGGCACAGTTGAGCTAGGTAAATTATTAACAACATTCGATTGTTTGGATCCTTTTCTTCGAGTGCTCCTTTCTAGTGACCCGCACACCAGCGCACATCGTCTTTGCGCAGTCATCGCCAGTTGTGTCCTTTTGTTGCTTCCGCTGTCGTCGTGCAGTCTGTGCTATCTCTGCTCCACCTCCTCCTCCTGCTCCTCCTGCTCCTCCTCCTGCTCCGCACAGTTGCGGTTAGCGGAGCGGTTTGTCATTGTGCCGGCTGGCAGGATTCTTCGCGGCCTCCCGGCGGCCGTATTGTTTGCGCCTTTAAGTGGTTTTTTATCATTTTGCCGCTGACACAATTTATATCCGGTGCTCATATTTCTTCTGCTTATCACTGGGGCCGCGCTGCTCCTCCGTCACCTTCTCATGTGTTTGGCCATTCCTCCGATTGTGCTCCGAGTGCAGTAAGCCATGCGGCGAATAAATTACGGATCCTAAGCCTTGCCCAAAGCCAGAGCACGTTCCCTAATTAGCCTAATTAAATATATGCGCGAAAATGTAAACATAACGGACTGCAAAGTGCGGAAACTCCTTGCGAAAATTTCTTCAAAGAACCGCGCTCCAGGTTCGCTTTTCCTCGCTTTTCCCTGCTTTCCCGCTTTTCCCGCTTTTAATTTTGCGCATTTGCAAACAATAGAGAAACGCCGAATAGTCAACAAAGGCGGAGGAGCCATAGCGATAAGGAAAGGTGGAAAGGCATGGTACGGAGTGGAATGAAATGGAGTTTCCTTGCCCGTCACCCAAATATGGCCAGAATACGCCGGTCTTAGCCCGGCTTGCCCTCTGTTGACGTTGTGTTTTCTCGTTGTTGGCCTTAGGAAACAATAATGCCGAGTTTGCACAATGAGCACAGCAGCAGGGGGCGCCAAAAAGAAAGGGACACGGAAAACACAGAAAAATAAACGCCAAATGCTCGGGCAGTAAAAATTGTAAAGCAGAAAAACAGGGAAAGCAAACGAGTGGCAAGGAGCAAAATAAAATGGGCCAGCCAAGAAGAGAAGACAACATTGTGGCAGTTGCAGAAATGTTGACTGTCGTCGAGGAACAGGGCAAGGAGGGGGGCTCGGGGAGAAAGTGGACCAATAAGGCCAGAAGATTGAGAAAGCTGCGGAGAAAGTTCGGGGAAAAGTGGGAGAGCGTAGGAGACAAGTGGACGCAACCACGCGACTTCCGTTGGAAGAGCTTGCTCTGCACTCAAAAACATTTTCCAATGAAGAAGGTAATTAGATCTATGTAAGCTTTAAATAATATGCGCAGTTTTTTTTTATCAAAGGCTATGAAGTTGGTCTACAATTTTAGAACTTCCAACAACAGCATATTTCGAATTTCCGAAACGTAAATAGCTATATATTAAGTCTTAATGAATGCAATGCATTATCATATCGCTTTTTGATTGACGCCCTACACACTTTTTTCGCAGTGCACTTGGCCCATTCACATTGGCTTTCCTCCCCTCCCCTCGCCCTCGCCCACCGTTCGCTTTTCTTTGTCGATGGTCTGCTTTTTTCCAACAATTAGTTGAGTTTTATTTATTTTGCGTTAATTGGTAGCACTTTATCTTGGGCTGAATGAATGAGCTGCGTTCTTTAAACAAATCCCGAGACGAGGCGGACCTTGAACTGGACGTTGCATGGTTTGGTAATTACGTTTTGGCTTTTTCGGTGGCTTGGCATCAACTTTGACCGCCTTCCCTTCGTCCTTCCCCTCGTCCTTGCGAATTTAGTATTCGCAGCCGAGCACCCCGCCCCGAAATCCAATATCAGAGCAAGCTTCTCATATTGCCATTTAATGCTTCTCCTTTTTGTTCGCTCCTCAGTTTGTAACGCTTACAAAATCCTATTCAAAAAGATTGCAAAAGGGCTGAAAGGGGCGGGCTGGGAAGCTCGAAAAAAAAAATACATAATAAAAAAAGGACCGAAAACTTTTGCACTCACAATATCCATTGAATAATTTTATGACAATATGTGTCAGAGCGTGTCGGTGTGTGCGTGAGTGTGAGTGTGTGAGTGTGTGCGTGTGTGTGCTCACGTGTGTGCCGGTATTTTCTGACAGTTTAAACAGATGCTGCTGTCGTGGGAACCTTTTCATCCGAGATTCCTTTCCCGACCGAGAATTACTCATGGCATTCGATGGGTTCTGCTTAAATATGTCGAAGGCGTCAGAGGACTTTTAATTGATTGGTCAACTTTTTTGTATTTATCTAATTTAAAATATTTATTGCTCTCTTAATATTTGAAGCATAGACTAATAGAATTTTAAATATTATGAATTAAACTTTGTTACTTATAGAGAACAAATAAATGTTTCAAGCATGGGTGGAATTGTGGAATTTCTCGAGCATAATAAGCAAAGCACACAAAGTGTATAAAAAGCAAAACCAATTAAATTACAGTCACGGATTTCTTAGTAGCTTCGCGATGGACTGTTATTTACACATATATTTGTGTATTTAATTTATTGCAACTTCGCCCTCAACGGGCAGCTTGGTTCCCCTCACACAAGGCACCTTACAGGGTACTTAGCTGTGCCTTTCAACCATGCAGCGTTCGGAAAAGGCAATAAACTATGAGGGCATGAGGTTCAGCCAACGTGCGAACCACTTTGGCCGCTGTATCCACATCCACCTGTATGGACAAAATTAGACAGGTGGGAATAGGCGCCGCACATTGTCTGGCGGCCCGTATCAAATTATGCATAAAGAACCCTATCGCAGGGGCGGGGGACGGGGGTTTTTGGGACGCAGCGCCAAAAAGTGTGCTCCGTAACTCGACAAAAGTGGCAACAAATTTAAAATTGGTTTCCACACACAGACGCACACAGCGGCAAACAAAAGAAACGCAGCGCCGAGAGAAATATGAAACAATAATAGCACCAAAAAGGGGCTGTTTACACGCCCCCATATACACACACAGATACACACAAAAGTATGCAAATGGTTTTACTGCTCCTTTGTTTTTGTGTTTGTTTTTGTTTTGTTTTTCCCACTTTTTTGCAGGCGAGTCGTCCTTTGTGTGCGTGTGGGTGGGGGGGTGGTGGGGTATTGGTATTATTATGGAGCCATGCTGTGTAATATCTGTAAATTTCTTTTGTTATTGCCAACAACGGTTTTCCCCCAGCCCCCTCCAATTTTCCCGATCCCCTCGCTTTTCCAGCGAACGGTGTTGACATTTGTTGGCATCTTTCCACACATTGTTGCCGCTGGTGTTGGCGTTTTTTTCGTTTTCGCTCCATCTTCTTCTTAACTTTTACTATATAATTTGTAGCATATGAATATATGAAGGACCACAGGAATAAAAAGTCGGGGGGCTGCAGAAACAAAAAGGGCAGACCTCGCCGTTGCCATTTCGCTCGGTAGCCAAGTTCAAATTTATGCAGTGTCGCCCAATAAATTCCGCAATAAATTCAAAATAAAACTTTTATCCTCGGCTCGCCTATTTGGTTCTCGGCACTTTGTGTCGCAAGTTAGGGTTTCCGTTCAGACTTCCAGTTGAGAGTCCGAGACCAGATTTTAATATTTTGATTGGGATTAAAAATTAGCTCGGAAAGGGACCACACATTTTGTTGGTATCTTGTAAGGAGAAGATCTGTCAGGAATGGCAAATGAGTAGTAATTATTTGTTTCATATAAACAAAAAATTGTGGGAATTCATTTAGTAAATTGAAAGAGAGTTACACTATTCCTGGAACACGATTTCCATTACACTCGTGGTATACTATATTATTTTGGATCATCGACTTTAATTACTAGGCAATTCAGGCCAAAGCGGATTTGGCAACAATTCAATTGAATTCAGATATTTACTCGCCGGTCCATTAAATCGAATATAAATACTTAATTGTGGGAACTTAAACAAGAACAGATTGCTCAAATATACAACGATGTTAAGTTCACAGAATTTTCCAATTACTGTGAATTCCTTCCGTCCAATTACTGAAATCGAAGTCATTAAAAGTTAATCACAAAATGGAGCGAAGTTTGGTAATCGGCCTCCCGCCTTGGAATGCGCAATCAGGGGAAGGATTGGACCACCATTTCCGACTGTGACCAAGTGGCGACCCAGCAAAGAAAATCCCCACGCTGGCATTTCTCTGTCGGCGCTGGAAACCGGAGCTTAGTGTTGGCCAAATCGATTTGCATGCGCCACTTGCATTTCCGCTGCCACACACGCACACCAGTACACCCACACCCACACACACACGCTCACCCACACGACCGCATATACATTTGAAACTTAATTACAGTTTTAAATATCCCATCTAACCTGAAATTCGCGCAAAGTGCGACTCCAGAGCCGCCTGCCGCTCGTAAAATGGCCCGAAAATGCACTCGACTTAATTGCCTTTGGACCACGACTCCTCCGTCCTGCTTTGCACACTCGACAAAATTATTTAGCGTGCTTTATTAATATATTAATATTTCGTTCCAACAAAATAGTTACATCTATTTTTTTACGATCGCAAGAGTAATGTTTCCTATGCTTTTTTGGTTTTGGTTTGGTTATTTCTATAATTTTACTCTTCCGCGATATGAACTTTTCAATAATGACTTTCTCACAAGGACTTATTGAGTCCCACCATGATTGCCACCATTTATTAAATAGCAGTTCCAATCCTAAATTGTATATCTAAACAGCTTCCAGTCTAAACTATATTTGAACTATTTTACAACCAAGCTAACCGCACAAAACGATTTAAATTCACGTGTAGATGTATTCTACTTCGGCTGTGATTCTGCCATCTTCAGCTTCTCTTCACTTGCGCTGCTGGCTGCCGTTGGCCTTTATTGCCAGCCATTTTGAATACCATTTTGTGGCTTATTACTTCTGCGGGACCGCTCCTCAAGCAGCCAGATACGCCGCCCAATCCACACGAGCCGGTCTTTGGTAGTAAATGCACTTTCGATTGGCCCCTCCGTCCGGATTTTCCCGCCGACTGTATTTATGGGCGGCTGGCGGCGATTATGGCAGTTAGCGTGGCACTCAGATTATCCTCTTTTGACAGCCAGTCCTCCGCCGAGTGGCGCCGGCTGCGGGTGGAGCAGATGCGGACGCGGACCCATCCAGTCCGCGGCGAATTTAATTATTCATGCCACGGAACCTACGGATACCCGCGCCCAGCAGCCGGGCGCCCAGGTGAGCTTTAAAAATCAATTAACCTTGATTGTGGCCCCTTAAAGTCGCCGTAGGTGGAATGCTTGCTCCAGGCACGGGGCATATTTGTTCCGCGCACTTGGACTTGCCTAATATATTGATAACAGAAGCAGAAAAAAAATATCCAGCGGAACTCAAGTTTATTTCACCAAGAATATGAAGAGATTATAACCAGGTCATAACAAGGTCGTCTTAATTCACGAATTACTATTCATTACTACTCGTTATTGATTTAAATTTCCGGTAATGACCTGAATAAATGAATACACTTGTATTTCCACCTGAGCCGCTCATCAAGTGCCAGGCAGTAATTTCATTTAATTTAATTTTATATATTTTCGTTGCTTCATTTCGCTTGATCCCAGCGGGAGTCCCCATCGCAAGGCACTCGGCGGATGCATCATTCCTGCTTGTCTTTTGTATCGCTCCAGCCATGCCCATTTCGATCTGCCTTTTGTTTGTTATGGGGCTTTGCGGGGGCGGTGGGCGTGGGCATGGAAGTGGATGGGAGGCGGATGCCAATGCCATTGACGGCCTGCAATATTGAACGTGACAGTTGGCCTGTCGACCCACAGAGCTTCCCGTTCCCGTTCGCCGCTCGTTACAGGTGGCTGTCATGGCAAATGTTAATTTTAATAATGGAAGGGCAAGCAGCCGCCCCCTGACCTGTGTCCCCATATTGCCCACGATTCATAACAAATAAATGTATAAAAATCTTATGAAAATCGCATTTCAAGGGTCAAAGTCGGCAAAAACAAATCCCGGCCAGCTATCCGGGCCATAAAAATGAACCCGAAACCCGAAATAGCCTAACCCTAAAAAACTGTCTGCTTGTCGGCCAGTCAAACAACAAAGCAAAAGTTAACATTATAATTTTTAATATTTTTGCTTTTAGCCTCCTGGGCAGGACATCGTTTTGTTCGGGGCTCAGCTTTTGCTTTGTATCCGGGTGTAAAGCTGTCAAACGCAGAGACCTGCTAGACAGCACTTTCCACAGGGTATTTGGTGTGTGGGAGTGGGCGTGGATGTGGGTGTTTAGGTGAGGCTGCCAGCTGTGACGTGCCTTTGGAAATGTTGCAAAGCCTGGTCCACAAAGAGGATGCTCTGCTCGACACTTGGGGAAACATCAGGATCAGCTGGGTAATGCAATTTACGGGCTTGGAAACTATCAGATGAAGGGAATATTTTCCATTTTCCATATTGGATTCAGTTCATCATTAAAAATTGAGTGATAACTTGAGTCCGAGCTCATTTTTTACCGAGCTACTGAAGGATATCAGTCCGTCATATGTGGAGTACTGCCATTTTTGTTTAAATAGTACTGTGCTGACTGACATGCAACATGTCGCCTTAGATCTAGGAATTTCGCTCGGTGTACTATCGGGAAAACCCTTGGGGGACCCGTTCGGTGCCCTATTTACCCCGGCCCCATTTTGCCGCCCTTCACATGCTGCTTTCAATTTCGGCGCCTTTTAGGTTTTAGCCTTTGGTTTTGATTCTTTCCTAAGCCCCATTCAGCTGCCGCTCCGTGTCCTTCGATTTCACGCAGAGCTGGCAATTTTGCGCCGCAGCCAAGTCCTTTCTGGAGTTTTTGCCTTGGAATGCTGTCCTTCGGCTGCGCAGATGCTTTTGTTGTTCCTGCTTTCGCCAGTGTTATTTATTTCCTTCAATTTCATTTATATTTCTTGTTTTCCTTTCTCTATGTGCACCGGCTTGTCCTGCAAGGGAAATCGACTTCGAATCACTTTCGGATATTTTTGGTTATAAAGTCGGAAATTTTGCGACATTATTGTTTTCCACATTTTTCTAGTTTTCCGTTCTTGTTTTGCTGTTTGTTTCCCCGGGTCCAAGCACTCACCTCCTTCGCTCATATTTTCCTCTTTGTCTGCTCTGAAATTTATTGCTTCCAATTGAGTGCACGAAGTGGCAGGAACAACAGCGACCAGGATCAGGGAGCTGGGCAACACGGTTCGTGAACAGTTCGCGCTCGCCCTAAGATACGCGTGCGTTTGTATTCGTATCCCCATCCGCATCCGAATCCATGTATCCATGTATCCATGTATCCATGTATCCATGTATCCATATCCATGTCGACGTTGGTGTCCTTGTCCCTAGTGCCGAAAAGCCCCGTCCACCCGCCGGCAGCATATTGAAAAGGAAGCACATGTAAGCAAAATTGACAAGGCTAAAGGATATCGATGTCTGCTTATAATGTGCAACATATTAAACCTAAGCACACGTTCGCCAGCGAGCTCTATAAATAACAGCAGCAGGAGTTCGAGTACGTCGCCGCGGGACGTGGGTGTGGATGGGCGTGGAGCTCCTTCCGCCCTGGCCCACAATCAAAGTTGCCACCAAAAACAGTTTTCACTTTGGACACCATTATTTTGCTGCCCCGCTTTTCACCTAGGATGTCCTTTGCCTCGGGTCCTGCGGCTAATATATGAGCCAAAGTCGCCCAGGTTGGCCTGCCTGCCATACCGTTGCTTTGTTTTGCTTTGACCCACTCCTGCAGCCATGTCCTGGCCCGAATTCCCGCACTAGGCTCGTGCGGCAGCACACTCGAAAAAAATATCTTCTAACTCAAAGGGGTAAAAAGAAAAGCTTCAATATTATTTAAGTTTGGCATAAGCAATCTGCGATTGTTTCGCGTGCGGCCTATTCAAGTTGATATTCCCGTTTAGTTGATATATCACTTATCGTCCAATCCTCCGCCCAGTGTAATATCCAGCCGAGCAGACTTCAGTTGTGTTGATATTGATGATGTTATTAAAATAATAAATTATTTGAAAATTATGAACTGCTGCCATTTCTCATGAAGCTGTCGGGTCGCGTAAGTGGAGGGAGTTGCCTTTGGTGGACCTGATAAATCAAAGGTAATCGGAATACGGACTCAGTTGGCCATCCCGAAAAGGGCGGAACTCCTGTCAACCGCATAGACAGAAATCCACTTCCACATCCACATCCACCTACTTGGAATCTCAAAGAGACTATAAAATTAGCAAGTGGCTGCTAACCTGAATTCAAATTCGACTGCCTCGGATGGGGGCTCCTGCTTACCTGTAAAGTGGCTTTCCGGCGCTCTCACGGAACCAGAGCACCATGTACACCCGGTCGTCCTTCGCCTCCGGCTCGATGTCGCACGGCAAGGATGCGGTTCGTCCCAGAACGGCCTCCACGGCCACTGTGGAAACTGAAAGGGGAGGGAAACACAATTATGAGTGCACTGCGGTAAAATAATCATATGTGGTCTGGAAAGGCACGTACGAAAGCCATCAAATAGAAGATACTTTAATTACTCGTATTATAGAAGGCTTTGAGAAATAATACGGGTCATATGGATGTTGTCATTTAAAAATGCACAAACTAACGATATTAATTTTTGTTTTTAAATACAAAACTATTTATTTTAGAATATTTATAGTGCAGCTTAGATTTCGAGGCAAAAACCTACGTGTAACAATTATATTGGACTGCTTATCAACTATTAATTTAAGACCTTATCATAATTATACCACATATTTAATCTTTACTCTATTTTCTTTATGACATTGAGCAGGCAACTTATATCACAGCGGCTATTTTAGTCCGAATGATTTTAGTCCGAATGACTGCAAGTTTGGCTTGTAATCCTTAACTCATTTTCCCTGGGTGTATCATTACCGTTTCCACCCAATGCAATTGAATGAAACGACAGGTGGGGTGGCTCCTTTGAAATGTCATGACAAAACTATTGCCAAAGTCATTAACACAATATGAAAATGTTCTTTTTGCCGTGGGCCCGGGCTGAGTTTCTGGGGTGTTGCCACAATTACTGCGACTCGACTCCTTCGTCGATTTCATAGCAAATGTCAACAAAACGCTGCCTTTTAAGTGTCACGTCGAGACTGCCGTCCCCAACGCGGAGCACGCAAGGCGGCAGCCGCACGACAACCTCAAGGCAGCCAACCCACCACCCACCACCCACCACACACCACCCAGGAGCCGCCCAGATCCTTTCAACCACACAGCTCCTTTCGACCGCAATAGCCGCTGACGTTCATCGTTGTACTCGCATAATCACAACCAAGTACGTGAGTGGGAATATTAATGCCAAATTGGAGCTAACGACAACGATGACGTCGACAATGGTGATGACGATGGCCGGTCTGCGATTTCAACCGACTTCAACGGCCTCATCTTTTGCATTTAAACTGCCAATTGATGCCGCTGGCAATAGATAAATGCTAAGGGCATCGTCGTCGCTTGAGGCTGGCGAGGATTGGAGTTCCCAATCCAATCTGGTCCGCCGATTTCCCCACTCCGGCCAATCAATCCGGCGGAATGACAATGGATTAAAGGCAGCCGGCTGATATCAAGTTAAAGCCCCTAATTGTCCTTTGGCGTGAGCAGGATCGCAGGGTGGCGGGTGGAAGTGGGCGGGTGTCGGATGTTTAGTTAGTTCCGACTCCACAAGTCGTAAATTAATACGAGAAACTGGTACTGTAAATGCATGGCCATTAATCAGCGGGCTGAATAAAACATTAATAGCCATCGAGGAGTAGCCAATAAGTTCCATAAATTGATTAGGAAAGGATTGGGCTGTGACGTACAGTAAACTAAAGTGACAGTAGGCAAACATATCCAGTATAAATCGTGCCTGGTGCCACCAAATTTCCCGTGTGTGCCCAATAAAATGGCCAAGAAATTTGAATATCCTTTGAATTCCCCACGCAAATCAGGCGAACATTTGCCAGAGATATTTTCCAGCGCTTGACGACCGACACACTCATCGAATCGATTTCTTAGCGCAAAATTGAAAATCCAATTGCTCACCTGTCCAGCTGTCAGAATCCAGAAACTCGAGCACATCCATCATGGACCTATTTTGCAGCCCCGTGCTCATTAATACCCAAAAGGGAGCCCCACAATCGTGTTACGCGTAATTTAATTTCGGCAGCCGCCAAACGAGCGAAAGGAATAAAAATGTGGCGCCGGAGGAGCGCAGGGTAGCCAGTGCTCCAAGTGCAGACGATGCCAAAAATTGTTGACATTTATTTAATATGCGCACGTTTTATAGAAAAGCAATTCCCAGTCGGATAATTTATGGCACACTACAGAAATTTGCACATGAAAACGCCGACCCAGCGCCACCCACCGAAAAACACTCGCCCACGCAGGAAAACCGAATGACAAACGGACAAGCAGACAGACACGCACACAGACATACACGTGTACATCGTGTATGAGTGCATGAGTGTTGGTGGGCAGCTACAGCTGTATTGGTGAGTGGGCCATGCATGGTAGCAATTTTCGTGCGTTTGTAATTCCCATGTAAGATGTCAAATGCTCGACGAGCAGACTCAGTTGGGTGAGGTCCGTACACTGAGCGAAAGCTACGTAGTTGATTGACAGCATTGGGAACCAGCATTTAAGTGAACCAACGGCATTTCCCGATTTGGAGGTGGTGCCAATCAGCAAGTGTTGCTGATGCGCTTTCCCTCGCAGCACAGCATTTCTCCCAGTGTACCGGTCCTGCTCTGTCACTGCCTCAGAGTCCCAAAGGCGCGCGGGCTGTTGCAGCAAATTGACATAATTTGTGATATGCGCCCCATCGCCGCCTCCTTCTGCTCCTCTGCCTGCTCCTGCTGCTCCTCCTTTGCAGCGCCATCATCCCGCCGCTCGTCAGCGTCAGCGGCGCGCAAGCGTAAGTGTGCAATGAGTGATTTGCCTGGGGCGCCCACTGGGGACTCGCGGATGCGATGGCTGGGGCGCTCCAATCCCGGCCCATCCGCAGACCACGAATCAGGCAGCCAAAACCAACTGCCAACCAACTGGGTTTTGGACAAAGTGGCGCGTGCTGCGGCTTAGGTGGCAAGCTGCTTCTGAGGTCACCGGATTGGGCTGCCACAAGCGGCAACAGTTAAGTTCAGTTCAGTTCAGCTCGGTTCGGATAGACAAATGCCACTCCATCCAGTCGCGTGTGTGCCGCCGGGTTAATATGTGCCTGAGTTCGTGCGGGCGGAGAAATAGGTCAATTTGGGATTATTAGTGCAAATCAAAGGCGAAGCTATTTTTAGCAAATTGATTTCAGGGACTGCGAACAACTTAATCCTTTCGTGTTCTTCAAGACGGGTAGCTGCTGTCTTTAGTTTGGCTTGGCTTGTCCAATGGAATTATTTTGATTTTGTATGTCACTGTGGTTACCTCATTATGGTGAATTTCAAATAAAAATACCATAGAATTAATAGTTTAAAGGAACTTTGTATTAGGTATTTTGTTTCTAAGCCCAAAAGCCAACCAACAGTAACTTCAAAGATTTCATAGTTATACATACATTTATAAGATACAATGAAGAGCAAATATCTGCAATGCTGCAAAATATTGTGTAATAGGCTGGCATTGATAGGTATTGATTAGGAACCCTAAGGAACTTTTACAATACCTAGAATAGATAGTTTAAGCTGTACCGTATCTGCAATATCGAGTGATTTTCCAGCGTGAACCTTCACCTACATTAACGACATTTTGCCCCAAGCAGAGGAGAAACACCAAAGCACAGCAAACATCTTAACAAGCGAATGGGAATTTCCTGGTGATTTCCGCTGGATCCTATATGGTTCGGTAACGTTTTCCTGCGCCACAGCCACCCAGTGTCATTTCACTTTTTATGCTGGCGAGAGTAGAAAACAAACACAAATTTTATTTTGCTGCACGCCGCCTCTCCCCGTCGACCCTTTTCCACGATTTCCCGCACTTTTTTGTTATGAAAATTGCCAACAGCTAGGCAACACATACTTAGCACGCACCAAGGCAAACACTGAGATACAGATGCAGGGAGTGGATAGATGGCACATACTGACTGCGGCACGTCGTTCGGCGCACTTGGGTTATGCACATAGTATTTATATTTATATAGAAAAGTCGCCGTTGCCAACACGTCCCGCTCGCCCTATATAAACGAAAGAAGCTGTGAAACTTATGCAAATTGCATTTCAGTGTCTGCGCAAAAGCTCGGCACAAAACCCAAGGAGCCCAAGCGGCGCAAGCGGCGCAAGGAGGCAGCGGTATCAGCGCCTAAGAGTATGCAATGCTAACGCGCCTTGCTCCAAAAAGTTGTAGAAAATGCGCATAATGAAATCCTTCGGTGCACTGCAAGAAATAAGATGCCAAAGGGGATTGCAGCAAACGAAAGTTCGAAAATGGGCAAATCCTTAAAAATCGGATTAACAGCAGGCAATGATGATTCAATGTTGTATCATGCATGTGGGTGTGTGGGTGTGCCTTAACGCCTATATTGCAATTTTAAATCATAGCTAAGCTACTTTGCTTTCAGTGTAAGACCACGGCAGCTTCTTAGCTTTACTTGACTTGGGCTGCTTGCCTTTTTCCACGTTCCACTTTCGCGGCAACGCTTTTGCTGCGCTTTGGCTTATTCATCTTTCTCTTCTTATTTGCGCTGGCGGTCTGCTTGTGTGTGTGCGAGTGTGTGTGTGCGTGTGTTGTTGTTTAAGAGAGCGCCAAAGTTTTTCTTCTCGTTTCACGCTACAACCGCAGGGATGCCAGCGACAACGAGTCCTGAGCATGGTAATTTCTGCAGGTCCTGGATGGCCGCTTGTGTGAGTGTGATTGTGTACACGAGTGTGTGTGTGTGTGTGTGTGTGAGCACTTAACCGTAGACACTTGTAAAAATAGCGTGCGACTGTGAGGCAGCCACTGATGTCGACCCTGGCCGAAAGCTGCAGCTGGAGCGAGTTGGAGCCAAAGCAGGTCACGTGTGGCATAAACGTGCCATTGCGTCAGTCGCTGCTGTTGCATTGTTATTGTTGTCTTGGGTGCAGGAAAATTCTTTAAATAAATACGCATGCACATACGAACGAGCGTGTGTGAGCGTCTTTCAAGGCGTGCACGGCAACAAATTAGATCTTATTTAACTCGAGCAATCAAAGAATGAAATTGATGCCTTTGAGTTTTCCAAGCAATGTGATTTAAGCTAACGAGCTGTTCATAAGACTGAAGGTATTACCAAAAACGCAGTAAGTCCTGCATTTTGCATTTTACAAGTCTGAAAGACTTTCTGCGCGTGTGTGTGTAATTGAGATGAAAGTTAATGGCCAGCGTAGCATACTTTCGAGCGCCAAAATCGCAAGCTAGCAAAACGGCAGACAATGCCAACGCACATCGGTGTGTCTGTGTGTCTGCGTGCCTCACATG